TTTATTAGTTGGCGGGCGGGGCCCTGTGACAGGCGAGGCCTAAGTGAAACAGATCTGTATCGGAGCGGGGCTCGAAGCCAGGCGGGGCCTGGAGCAGCGGGGCCGTTATAGCGGGCGTGGCCCGAGGCAGGGGGCGAGGCCCAAGATATTGGGCGTGGCCCAATATGTGCAGTATGTGATTATGCATGGTATGTGGTAGGGTGGGGAACTCACTAAGCTTCGTGCTTACGGTTTCCAGTTTTTGTTTTAGGTACTTTTGGTAGCGGAGGGAAGAGATCGGGGTGATCGCATGGCACACACCATTGATTAGGCAGCCTGGGAATGTTTACTCTGATAATGAACATGTGTTTTAAAAATTTATACTTTGATTATGTTTTGGAATGATGACTTTGCTGAAAGTAATGTTTTATTAAAAGAAATTTTTGGTCTTGAATTTTGGGTCGTTACACTTCCGATTAGCATAAAGAAAGAAATTTTGCTATAATCCATGAAGTTATCCCATCGTCTGGCATTTCCACCACTAACCGAGTTGAAGCAGAATTAATGATTGAAGATACGCATGGAAGAAGTCCTTGTAGAGTCTAAAGAAACTTTTATGATTATTTGGACACATTCATATGTGTTCAATCGTTTTGTGATTTTAGGAAAAAAGGAACTTGGGGACTGCAAGACAATACTTGGGATGAGTATGAGTAGGTGTGAAAGGTAGTAAAGGCCTATACTACCGGAAGCACATGACTTACACTTGGATTAGGGAAAGTCATATGGTTACCAAGGTACTAGTAATTGATTTTGTTTTGTTCATGTATGTCGTTACCATTATTTCGGTAAAGACTAAGATAATGATTATTATTCCGACCCTAGTAGTCATATCAAATCGAGTCCGGATAAGATGAGTATGTTACGTGGTTCATAGAACCAAGTTCGATGTAACATCCGACTTAATCCAGAAAGATAATCGAAGCGATCAATAGAAGTATCACAATCGTTGTTAAAGTAAGAAGCTTGTAGCTAGATGTGCTACATGCTAGAACGTGATTATATCACATTAGAACATGAAGGAAGGTATATTCCATTTTGTAAATTGGCTCAAAAAGACTTGAGTCTAAGCGTTGCATCATACAATGAGAGGTCATTAGAACATGACCTATCGGTCTGTTATGGTAATCAAAGTAAAGAACTTATCTTAATTTAAGGTTGTTAAGGAGTAGGAGTCTCCAAATAAGGATCAACTTTGTAAACTCGAAGGTTATGATTGAAATTCCAACATAATACGAAGAGCAGGTGCAAGATTGAGCACCACCAACAGTCCAGACATCCAAGAGTTAGATACTAATTTGAAAGGACATTAGAGTTACGATTATTACCTAGAATGAAAAGATAACATATTATCCCATTCATGTTTTTTCCTGGCGTACTCAAGAACTTCGGTATATTATCTCATCCTCAATTCCTTCTCTTTTCTCATGAACTCAAGAACTCAAATCTATGATGAACATACACATCAGATTATTGTTCATTGTCTTCAACCTCCAGTCACAGTGTTCTTAAGCAAATCTGAACTGATTTATTGACTAAAACTTCAGTTTTTTGAAGAATAAAACCCGAAAATGATTTTATGTTTGATTTTTGAAGAGCAAACTTAATTTCCAGAAAGGAAATCGAAGATTTATGAGTGTGTGTTCTTGTTCATCTTTTTCTGTGTTCGTGTTTATCTTTCCAGATTTCGATTTTTAAATAATAAACACAATAACACACACATACACATAAGATTTGGGTATGTATTCTTGAAAATCGAATGAAGATATCTGAAGATTTGAGAAATGATGTGTGTGTTCTTGGACAAAAATCGTGTGTGTATGTTCTTGAATGATATTTGTTTTTAAACAAAAATCATGTTTTTGATATGATTCGAGTTCCATTTTCATTTTCCTTGCTCGATGTGTGTTCTTGAGCAAAAATCGATGCGTGTGTGTGTGTGTTCATTGTGTTAATCTTCTTCATAGAAATCAAAAATCGATGTGTGTGTGTGTGTGTTCATCTGTTCACATAAATCAAACAATCTCCAGGACTGTTCGTGCATTTGTGTTCATGCTTGAACATCATATCTGAGTTTATTGGAATGATTTTCAGATGTGTTCATGCTTGATTTTGGAACAACACATATACACTCATCTAATGTGTATGTATGTGTGTTGATCATAGATCTTGAGTTCATGAGAAAATATAAGAAAACAAGAGGGGAAAATAGAAGCTGAAACATATTTGATGTATGTGTGTTAATTTTCGCCGAAAAAATCATGAACACCTGAGACTCGCCGGAGAAGACGACCAAAGCATCGTCTGAGGTGTCATACACCGGAAACCGGCTAAAACTCCGATAGCAGGTTATAAGGATGTTATTTGAACAATTCAACAAGTTCAATGGGAAAATATGGAGAAAAAAAACTTAGTGACTAAATGTGTACGAGTCAAAAAATATGTTACCCTTTTAAGTCATTATCCCTATTGAATTACTTTCAAAAGTTGTTCGTATGATGAATCGATGACTTACTATTAAAATTAAAATTATAGTTTATTTAGATTTTTAAATGTGGTTATGTCTTATTTATTTGGACATAAACAAATAATTTCTTTTATTACCTTTTTAGATCTACCTGAGTAATGGATCTGATTGTGGTTACAAATGTTTTAACATTTAATGCTTAATGGATCAATGTTTTGTTTGTTTTGAATTTCAAGAGGTTTGTAATTGTTGAGTTGATTTGCATCTTATAGAAGATTAACTACTTAATATATGTTAAAATTTGTTGTTTTAAGTTGATCGATATTTTAACAAAAAGCTAAGAATTTTTTATATCCGTTATTGATATCTGAATCTGTATCTGAAAATTCGGATATCCGAATTTCGGATAACTAAAATTTCAGATACGGATTCAGATATCGATAATCCACTATCCGAATTTTTGGATATCCGGTTTTGAACACCCCGAGATCATATCTTTTATCAAATTTACCATTACTTCCTTTATTTTCACATCCGCCTACAAGATTGACATAACAAGTCATCATTCATCAATTATATAATTTTGGTAGTCCCTTCTATTAATTGAGTTACCCTTTGGTCAAACTCACTTCGCAAACTTGACACTTTTTTCCTTTTAACTATTAAAATGCTATTATTTTCATTTATAACTTTCTAAACTTCTTATCAAGTAATGATATGATTATTCCTTGATGATTTAATGACATATACAAATCATCTTTCATTTATTACTTTATAAATTTAAAAACCTAGTCTTAAGTTTTAGTATATTACAATTATCTTTCGTCCTGAAAATCAAATCCAAGGTTAGCACCTTGGGACTCCTTCCAGCAGTACACATTGCTTCAGATGTTATACATTACGAACATGTGATGAATTTGTTTAAGGGAATCATGTTCAACATGAGTTTCAATAGTATGTTTATTACTAACGTTGTTTTATAAAAATTGTTGAATTTGATCAAGTACAAATATTATGCACCTTCTTGTCCATATAAATATTTTTACCTGAAAGATCTAGGACATCTTAAGATACTAACTCTTGAGGGGGGGGGGGGGGGGGGGGGGGATCTGCTACGTACTAGACTTTAATCTGTTTTGATGAACTACATCTATATTTCATGTTTCCTAATCAGTTATCAAATTTTGAACTTGATATGGTTTTATGACGGTCGATATGTTTAATGTAAATCTTCTAATACAAATCAGTTGACTAAACACAAAAAATATAACTTCTGTCGTCTCTTTGTAATACGGTGTAATAGTACGAATCCACTTATGGATATCAGTTATTTCATCCTAAACAATTGTAATCTTATTGTTATTAGCCATAAGATATCCAAATTGCAGGCATGTGGCAATTTTGATGTCATATTATGGCCTGAGACTAGTTCCCCAAATTTTGTCTCGCCATATGGTAATTTTGATGTCATGTTTATTGCGTCTTAGATTTACCAAATGCTTTTGAAAAACTCGTTTCGTTTGAACTATAGTCTTACTATATATTCAATGGTGATCTAGTTTAACGTTGTATACAGACACTATCTTATAGAAGAGAAAGTAAATAAACTTAATTTTCATTTAAATCCGTTGATATATTTTGTGTAAATATACATACACAAAGGTATTTTTATTACTATGCCGTACAAAATTCAACCCTTTTTCTCTCTCACTTCTTAAGTCGCGTCGGGTCGAAATACGTCTCTTCTTGCTTATCGACGTGGTGCACAAATCCTGACCAAATCAAGGTATGTGCACTGCGATCTATCGTTAGCCTTCGCTTAATCATTGCTTAATTTTAATCAATTTAGGGTTCTTGATTTAATTGCGGTTTTGCAACAATCGGAATTGATTGTTGCAAAGAACGATGCTTTAATCCATGTTGTTATGCCATGGATGATTGCCGTAGCTTCTTTAGCTTTTGAATTATTCAATTTTAAGGAAAAAGACAGTCGATGTTGATACACATCGAGTTTGGGGTTTTGGGGCTTTGAAAATTTGAAATTTCTCGTAAATGGGAATCGAAATTGCGGTTTTAATGTATTAATTCTTTTACGTTTTCTTGGCAATTGAATTGCAAATTATGTTTTTCTATTAGCGTTATGGATTTGATGTGGGTGCCTGGGTGGAAATAGTTGGGATACTTCTTGGGTGGGTAGGGTTTCATATCTTGCAGAATCAAATGTGAATCCAAAATGTTGACTGGTTACAACTTATTGATAGATCCCCCAAAAGAACTCATTTTTATCATCGATAGTAGACTTACTATTGCCAAATTGATAGGGTTGTTCTTACAATTCTGACACAATGTGATATGTTCTGGTTTTACTAGGGAAAATTGAAGCTGAATCTTGATACAGATTGAGGGGTATATGATCAGGCCTCACTTCTCCAAACTCTGGAGTTGTCACATTTTGTTATGAAACATATTTTAGCAAAAAGGGGACAGGATAAAAATGAATTTACAGACTCAAATGGCAGGACAGTTCTCAAGGCAAGTTTCCAATCAAGCTGGAACTTCATTGCCTCCAATACAACACCAACAGAATATGATGCAGAACTCTGAAGGTTCCCATGCTTCACTAATCATGGAACCTGGTTTTGATAAAGCTCGAAGATTCATACAAGATAGAATGTAAGCTCTTCTTTTTCAACATTCTGTATTTATAAATTAAATCCCGATGAAAAACATTAATCTTTTTTTCTTCTCTAGCTATGAGTTCCTCATGCAAAGGCAACAAACTCGGGAGATAGCTCCAAAGAATGTTCTTGATATTGTTAGACGATTGGAGGAAGGCTTATTCAAAACTGCTACAACAAAGGTTTTCTCTTTTCTTCTTCTTGTAGCATATGATTTATGATATACATACAGACTTTATAATTTACATGTGTATATATATATGTTCTTGTTTTAGGAGGAATATATGAGTTTAGATACATTGGAGACTCGTTTACATACGCTGATAAGACGCCCCACACAACGATATCAGCAACAAAATAATGCTTCTGGAATGGGAACAATGATTCCAACTCCTGGTGTCCCTCAAAGTGGGAATATGATTCCATCATCTACTGATGTCATGGTGTCATCATCAGCTGTAAATCCAGGAAGCTTTTCCATGAACAGCCAAATGATGCCTACTCCTGGATTTAATAATAATACCACAAATAATGTTTCCATGCTTTCAAATGTTGACTCAACAATGGTGAGTCAACCACAGCAGCAAAAGCAACAAGTTGGTGGTCAAAACAGTCGGATCTTGCATAGTTTAGGGAGTCATATGGGAGGGGGAATCCGGTCTACATTGAATCAAAAAACTTACGGGTTTCAAAACGGGTCATTAAACAGTAACAATCTAGGGATGATGGGTAAAAGTCAACAGATGGTCAACAGTTTGGGAACATCCGAAGGGTTTTTGACAGATTACGGAAACGCCCCCAAACCAGTTCCAGTTCCAGTTCCACAATACTTTGATCAACATCAAGGACAGATGGTGAATGATGGATCAGGTAATTTTTATGCCCCAGCCACGTCAGCTTCATCAATGATGAACACGAACACAAACACGAACACGAACATGGTGAATTTATCAGCGTTACAAAGGACAAATTCGCCCTTGGTGGTCAACCAGTCAACCGACCATCAGCCTGCAAACATGAATCAATCTGAAGAGATGGATTTCAGGAACACCATGCATTCACAACAGCCTCTTCACTTTCAGCAACAAGTTATTCAACCTCAAAGACAACAAAAACAACAGAATCAGCGATTCCAATACGGGCAGAATCAGAATCAGAATCAAGTAATCTCCGATATGGGAAATCGAATAAAGTCTGAGCCTGGAATGGAATCATTACAGCCACCACAAGTGTATGAACAATTCCAGTCATCTATCTCTCAAGATACGCGTTTACCACTGCCTGAAACTTCCGGGCAGCAACAAGTACAACAGCCTAACTTTGGAGGTCAACAAGAGGCAGGTCAATGGCAGTCAAGATCTCAAGGTGTCGTGTCAAATGAGGTGAAAAGACCAATAGACCCTCCAGATACTACAGCTGTATCTAGATCTGGTAATTTAGACCGTGAGTTACAATTCAATAATCAAAAAAGGTGGTTGTTGTTCTTGATGCATGCCCGAAAATGCCCTCATCCGCCCGGAAGCTGCCCGGAATCGAATTGCATCACTGCTCAAAAGCTGTTGAATCATATTCCAACATGTATGGATGTAAATCAATGTCCATATCCTCGCTGTCATAGGACAAAAAAGTTACTCCATCATCATAGAAAGTGTAGGGATGAAACATGTCCCGTTTGTGTCCCTGTCAAGCTCTTTGTACGGAAGGGCGTACAGGGGCAAAATAGTAAAAACATGAATTCATCTGTTGTTCAAACTTCAGAAGATTTGCATCCCTCCATGAAACGAATGAAGATCGAGCAACAGCCATGTCAGTCGCCACCTCGACAAACTGAAAACCCGATAACATCATCGGGTCCCACTTCCACTCCCACTCCCCACTCCCATCACTACCAGTACGTCTGAAGCTTTACAGGATGTAAAGTGGGTCCCACCTCAAGAGGTGAAAATAGAAGTCCTGTAACTTCGGTTCAAGAAAGTATTCAGATCACTACCGATGTTGCTTCTGTCATGTTAAATGATGCGGGCCCGGCCAAACAAGAAAATGACGAAATCGCCCCTGGAACGAAATCCGGAAAGCCAAAAATAAAAGGTGTATCGATGACAGAGTTGTTTACACCAGAGCAGGTTCGGGAGCATATAACCGGTCTCAGGCAGTGGGTTGGCCAGGTCAGCTTTTTATATCAATCAAATTATGGGTAAAAAAATATAATATTAATTCCTGCAACTTATTTATTTATTTATTTTTGAATATCTGTTATTTGTTGTTTTTGTATAATAGAGTAAAGCGAAGGTAGAAAAGAATCAAGCAATGGAGCTATCAATGAATGAAAATTCATGTCAGTTGTGTGCGGTTGAAAAGCTAAATTTTGAACCACCTCCTATATATTGTTCACCATGTGGGGCCCGCATAAAAAGAAACGCGATGTTTTACACAATTGGAAGCGGTGATACACGTCACTATTTTTGTATACCCTGTTATAATGAAGCACGTGGGGACACTGTAACTGTTGATGGAACTAATATCTTGAAAGCAAGATTAGAAAAAAAGAAGAATGATGAGGAGACTGAAGAACCGGTATGCTACACTACATATATATTTTTAATAATAAACTTTTTGAATAATGGGTATAAAAATTTACATGATGCTATGTTTTTTTTTAAAAAAAAAATACAGTGGGTTCAATGTGACAAATGTGAAGCGTGGCAGCATCAGATATGTGCTTTATTTAATGGAAGAAGAAACGATGGTGGACAAGCGGAATACACGTGTCCAAATTGTTATATGGAAGAAGTTGAGAATGGGGAGCGGGTCCCACTACCTCAAAGTGCACTTCTTGGAGCAAAAGATTTGCCAAGAACTATTCTTAGTGATCATATTGAGAACAGATTGTTTAAGAGATTGAAGCAGGAAAGACTAGATAGGGCTAGGTTTCATGGGAAAAGTTATGATGAGGTAGCTGATTGTGATTATATGGTTTTTGTTTTTTTTTTATTTAAAAAATAATAATAAATATGAATTTTGTATTATTAGGTTCCTGGAGCAGAATCACTTGTTGTGAGAGTTGTCTCATCCGTCGACAAAAAACTGGAAGTGAAACCGAGGTTTCTTGAGATCTTTCAAGAGGAAAATTACCCCTCGGAATTTGCGTATAAATCTAAGGTATTTGGAGGTAGTATAAGTATTAGTAATATTTGAATGACTTAAAGTTGAGGAAATAGTAAAATGTGTTTATATTTGTTGTTGTAGGTGGTTTTATTATTTCAAAAAATCGAAGGGGTAGAAGTGTGTTTATTTGGGATGTATGTACAAGAATTTGGAGCAGAATGCGAACAACCAAATCATCGGCGTGTTTATCTGTCTTATTTGGATTCAGTCAAATACTTCAGACCCGAAATAAGAACAGTAACAGGGGAAGCCTTACGTACATTTGTATATCATGAAATTTTAATCGGTTATTTAGAATACTGCAAATTACGTGGTTTCACAAGTTGCTACATTTGGGCATGTCCTCCATTAAAGGGTGAAGATTATATCTTATATTGTCATCCAGAAATCCAAAAAACACCAAAATCCGATAAACTAAGGGAATGGTAAGTAAAATGTATTATCATGACTTGAATTAATCTTATATTTTTATTGACATGAATTGTTTTTTGTTGGTTGTTTTTAGGTATTTGTCGATGTTGAGAAAGGCTACAAAGGAGAATATTGTGGTGGATCTTACGAATTTATATGATCATTTTTTTGTGTCTTCTGGTGAATGTAAAGCTAAAGTTACTGCAGCTCGTTTGCCTTATTTTGATGGTGATTATTGGCCTGGAGCTGCTGAAGATATTATTTACCAGCTTAGACAAGAAGAAGAAGGAAGGAAGTTAAATAAAAAAGGTGCAATGAAAAGGACCATAACAAAAAGAGCTTTGAAAGCTTCGGGTCAAATGGATCTTTCTGGAAACGCCTCAAAAGATCTCCTTCTCATGCATAGGGTAATAATTTAATCCTCCATGATTTGTTATTCCTATTATTTTCTTAAACATGATTTGTGATTTAACTTAAACTTTTTTACAGCTTGGTGAAACCATATCCCCAATGAAGGAAGATTTCATAATGGTTCACTTACAGCATGCTTGCACTCATTGCTGTCTCCTTATGGTGTCTGGAACACGTTGGGTTTGCAACAATTGCAAAAATTTCCAGCTTTGCAACAGGTAATAATAATATAATATTCTACAGTTCAACCTGTTCTGTTCTGTATCACAAACGGGGTTTGTTTGTTTGTTTGTTATAGTTGTTATGAGATTGAACAAAACATTGAGGAGAGAGAAAAACATCCTATTAACCAAAGGGTCAAACATCCACTTTATCCTGTAAGTTTTTTTTTTTTTTTTTTTTTTTTTTTTTTAAACGGTAAAAGAAAAGTTGTAAAAAAATTGGGTGATTATATTGATACACAGGTTGAGATTAATGATGTGGCTACGGATACGAAGGATAAGGATGAGATTCTTGAGAGTGAATTTTTTGATACGAGACAAGCGTTTCTGAGTCTATGCCAAGGAAACCATTATCAATATGACACGTTAAGACGGGCTAAACATTCTTCAATGATGGCATTGTATCATCTCCACAATCCAACAGCGCCTGCGTTTGTCATCACATGTGTCGCATGTCGGTTGGATATAGAAACCGGGCAGGGCTGGAGGTGTGAGATCTGCCCGGATTATGATTTGTGTAACGCGTGTTATAGAAAAGATAGAGGAATCGATCATCCTCATAAGTTGACACATCATCCTTCCATTGCTGAACGTGATGCACAAAATAAAGAAGCCCGGCAACTACGGGTTGTCCAGGTAATTTACAATACATATTTATTATTATTATATAAATATAAATGTAATAATAAAAGAAAAGAAAAGAAAAGAAGAATGAATGGAAGTTGATTTGTTGGTTGTAGCTTCGGAAAATGCTTGATCTTTTGGTGCATGCGGCTCAATGTCGGGCACAGTTATGTCAGTATCCAAATTGTAGGAAGGTGAAGGGGCTTTTCAGACATGGAATGCATTGCAAAGTACGTGCTTCTGGTGGTTGTCTTCTTTGTAAGAAAATGTGGCATCTTCTTCAGCTTCATGCCAGAGCTTGTAAAGACACCCCATGCAATGTCCCCCGATGCAGGTATTATGTCTTGTGCTTTTAAACCATACCAGAAAAACAAGACTATGACTATATAATATATATATGCTTAAGTTGCATTTATCATGGTGAATGATGTTGATGTACAGAGACTTGAGGGAACATTTGAGAAGGCTGAATCAACAGGCGGACAGTAGGAGGAGGGCGGCGGTTATGGAGATGATGAGGCAGCGTGCGGCGGAGGTTGCTGGCAGCAGTGGCTGATGGATGGATGAGTCATCAAACTGTAAATATAACAACAACATATGGATCAGTCAGGGTCTCAATGTACAGTTTTGGTTGTTTTGCGTGGCTTGATTGGATCAAAGTTCAAACTATAATTTTGGCTGCTGAAAAGACTACGTACAGTCACAGACAAGACTATTTCTTCAAGCTTTCAGCAACTTAATTTAGGATTTTTTATGGAGAATATGAAACATCAAAGAAACCTTTTTTTTTTGTTCCTTCCTTGGGTTTTGTTAGGTCGTGCAAATATGTTATGATACAAACTCGTTTCGATAGGTTACCATCCATTTGTTTTACAGTGACTAATTTATTTTTTTTGGCTTCATCACTAATTTGCTTAATTTTTTCTAGTTTGATCATCGGATTCACATAAAAATCAATTACGTTTATGATTATTATGATTTTAATTTTAGAGTTTTTTTTTATAGTAATGACACAAGACTTCCATGTTTTTCCATGGACGAAATGTCAAAATCAAGTCCATATCCTGTCTTTTTGGTGGACATAAAGTTTCGATTTGTCACTACATTATCGAGTCTATAAACTTACACAAAATTCAGGAGTGGAATTTATTTTGGTATCAACATTTTAGAATACAAGAACGGGGTTCAATGTACTTGGGGTAAACTGTTATATTATTTTCTACATTTATAGAGATGCAAAATAATAATAATAATAATAATAATAATAATAATAATAATAAGGCACTCTTGGATCGATGTATCTTCAATTAGTATAGATAAAATATGATTTAAAGATAGCCTTGTAATAACTACCAATGATAAATTTGTGAATAAGGAAATGATTTGATAGAACCATATATGGCTTTTTATGGTTTGCGTACGTATTTTAAACATGTACATGAGAATGTATAAGATTAGTTGGGGCAAAAATTATAACACCATATCCAAACTAATTTCACCTTCACAAGATTGCTAACAAACTGAAAATCAATCTCTCATACATTACGCAACAAAACATTGTTATTGATTATGAAAAGATCTAATTCAAATCACTCCCTACTAATAGACTGACACGAAAGATAAGTTTTTCAAAAAACAAAACGACTAGAAAAAAAAAAGAGATACAATTTGGAACGATGTATAGTATAAAATATGTTGTTTACTTAGACATTAGTGCTTGTGCATCTGATATTGATGGAAGTGCGGGAATGGCTCCTTTCTTAGTTGTACATATTGCTCCACAAGCGTTTGCTAGTTTCAGTGCCTCCTTCAGCTTCCCTTCGTCCTACCAAATACAATCACTTCCACATGTTAGTTATTGTATTTTATTCAAAACTGATTAAACCAATAAATTTTATTTTAAATTTTCTTCGACCCAACTCTTAATATTTTCTATTATCAATCAAATTTGATTTAAAAAATGATAATGTAAATTATCCTCCACGTGTTTACAAATTATTATATTAATAAAAAAAAAAACCGAATCATTAAGTTGACAATAACACATATAATTATATTAATATAATTTAAATATAAATAGTCTTTGAACACGTTAAAATGAAATGAATTTAAAAGTTTTACCGTAAAAATGGAATTGTCCTTTGCAATGGAACACAAAATGGAGCCCACAAACGAGTCTCCTGCACCTGTTGTGTCTACTGCTTTCACAGGGAATCCACTAACTTTTCCCTTCAAATTCTACAAACAATCAACCAATAAGAATTCAAATGATTAATTAATCCATTCATCATATTCATATTCATATATACATAATGCATACATACCTTGGTGTAATATCGGCATCCTTTCTCCCCATCTGTAACAACCATAAGCTTGAAGTGATCACGCCACAATGACTTCACTGCTTCTTCGCTATCGGAATCTTTCTGTGTCAAGAATGCCACCTCGTCGTCGCTCACCTACGTACAACCACCGTCCACCGTCGTTATAGTGAATTATTTAGGTTTAAAGTATGTGGAAATTCATACCTTGATGAAATCAGCTTCGTTCCAGATACTCATGATACCATGTCTGGCAGCCTCCGGTGAAGGCCAAAGAGGAAGGCGGACGTTAGGGTCGTAAGAGAGGAGGACCCCAGCTTGCTTGGCGGTTTTCATGGCGGCCATGTGAGCCGACCTACAGGGCTCCGTAATGAGGCTGATTGACCCGTAATGGAAGATCTTCGAATTCTTAATCAAATCCATGTTCAGTTCAGACTCTTTCAACAGCATATCAGCGCTAGGGTTCCGATAGAACATAAATTCCCTTTCGCCATTCTTCTTTAGCGTCACGAATGCAAGAGCCGTTCTCGCATGCTCATCGAACAAAACTCCGTCCGCGTTTACTCCGTTCTTCTTCAGTATGTCTGCTAGCATGTATCCAAACTCATCTTTCCCAACCTGTGTTCCATACGTAAATAGAAATCAATGAGAATAAAACGTTAAAAATTCCCAATCTAATCTTAATCACGCAGATGGCAGATCCGATGAGATGAACGTGAAATTGATGAAATGGCTGAAATGTAATTACCTTGCCGATGAAAGCGGAGGAGCCACCCAGCTTGGCGATGGCACAGGCGACGTTTGCAGGTGCGCCACCGGGGGCTTTGAGGAATCCTTGAGACTCAGCCAAGGAGACACCGGCGGTATCTGGGACGAAATCGATCAACATCTCTCCGAAACACACAATGGATGCCATGTCGTCAGGATTGATAATGGATTGATTCTGTATTGGAAAATGGTGAAAATGATGATTGATGAAGAAGGGTGATCGGAGTTGTATTCGCGTGAAGCGGTGAAGGTGTGTATGTATATATATAGAAAAAAGATGAAGAGAGAGAGAAGGAAGAAGATCTATAAAGAAGGATGGGAGAGATTGGACTTTGACCTCTACATATTTTTGACTTTTTTCTTATCCAATGGACCAACGATTTAAAACCCAAATTATATAAAAAGATAAGTTAAATACGTATTTTATATAACAACATTTTTCACATTTTCATAATTATGTTATTAAATGTTTTTTATATGAATACCGATACGCAACAATATTTTATTTTAACACCAAAGATATGATAATTAATTGAAATGTGACTGCTAATTTGTGTCGGTTGCATAAATTAAAAAATATATATATTGTTGTATAAATTGATAATTTAAGAAAAAAAAAAGATATGATAAATAAAGTTGTAGCTTGTAAATATTTTGTATATCCATTTATATCCTTTTGTAAAATTAGCTTATCTGTTCTTCCTGTTTTGTAGGAAATTAGGAAAACATTCTCCTTTAGAATGGAAATCAAATGAATTATGGGAATGGTGGCAACTTTATCCTTATCAATTATCATATAAGATTATAGACAGTATTTGCCACGTCGTACTCCTTGATGATCCTTATCATGTATAACAAACTTATTGTTGACCCATATATGGATGTTTTAGTTTACAAAATAAGACAAAAGAAATCAAAAGAAAAAAAAAATACACTCGAATATACGATTGAGCAAATCTTCCCACCATCAATGGCCCAATAATTACTTTTATATAAAGCTTATCTGGTAATTAATTATATTTTATATTTCAAGGTTGTCAAGATCGGGATCCTACCTAGGATCGTTTTTGGGTTTGCAAAATCGGAATCGTAAGATCGGGATCGAGATCCTAAGATCCCACAAAATAGAATATAATTCTAATTTATAATATTAATCATAAAAAATATTTCAAACATTTAATTTTTCGTTCAAAAGTTATAAAAACTTTAAAATATTAGTCATAAGTCACAATAAAAATGATAAATGGTAGATTGGTAAAGGGTAAAAGACATAAAATGGTAAAAAAATTTCATTTGAAATTTTTTTTTAAAGGAAGGTAGGGTCGGATCGGATCTCGATCCTACGATCCTACCTACGATTTTACGATCCTACCCAAAATACGATCCTTTTACGATCTGGATCGTTTTTCATACATAGGATTGTAGGATCGTACGATCCTACGATCAGGATCGCGATTTTAACAACCATGCTATATTTATCAAAAAATTAACAAATATATTAAAATACATGAGTCATCTCTAATAGATGAATTTTTTTTTGCCACTTGTCACACTCTTATTGAATTGTCAAATGTTATTTTCTGGTTATTTTGAATTAATTTTTTTTTCCACATGTAGTTTTTTTATTTTATTAAATTTCATATAATATTTTAATATAATAATTGCAATAAATGTAGTAATAAATGGATATCATTTTCATTAATAAACTTACCTTTTAAATTCAAAATTTTCAAAATTAAATTTTATTAGTTTTTTTTATTTATTTAAATTATTTATTCAAATTTAAAAGATATAAAACATTTCTATTATAATAATGCATTATTTTTCTTATAAATTCAAAGTTCTTAAATATTTTGACTTTTATACTTAACTTTTTTAAAAATTAACCCATTTAATATATAGATCTCACAACTAGTAACTAATATTGATAAGTTTTCATATATTTTTTTTATAGACAGTTACATCAATGATCCTTGTGATTGGTAAAAAAAATACCGCTACAAGTTATTTTGATGAATTTTGAAGGTGCTTGGCCAGTCCTTGAGAGTGTAAAATGTTTATGCTAAAAATACTAATAATTCATTAGAACAAAATATATTTTTAAGTAAAAGCATGTGTTTGTTTATAGATAAGAAAGATTATACTTTTTTTTAATAAAACAGCGAGTTAGTTTGAAAAAGATTATCTTAAGGCACGTTTGGTTCAAAGATTGAAGTGGAATCCAAAGGAATTGGATGCTTTTGGTTTGGTTGTCAAATGGACTGAATTAGATCTAATCAGGGAATATGTATCGTATTGATTTTATGATTCCTAAGGGTAATAAGCCAATAAAACCTAAATTCCATGATTCATTTTTTAATACACTAATAACAAAATTATGTGCTCTTCTACTTTGTCAACATTAACCAGTCTACTACTAGGCAACCTACTATATTTCTTCACAAGTAATGTTCATATAATATGCAAAAATAACTAACATAATGATATCTATTAATATGCAAAGGAAAATAAAAAAAATCCACAATTATCTTATTTTATCAAAAAACCTCATCTGAATTCTGACATCACAATATGACATACAAATGGACAAAAAAAGAGAAAAAAGCAAGTGAATCCTTAAAAATGTTTAGAAATCAATGAAGGAATGATGATATGTTTGTTCTAGAATGTCCTGGAGTACTTTCTGATTTCATACATTATGGATGATATGGAAACAAGGTCTTTGTTAAGAGCAGAGCCACCCGCAATCCTCTTCATGCAATCAGAGAGTCTTGTATAATACAGCAACAGCTGTGTTAAAGCTGCTCTTAATATTTCCATCCCACAAAGAAAGTTGCTGAATGAAGTGATGACGTCACCATGCATCAACTCAATTGCTGCTTTCCATCTGCTTCCAAAGTCTTTCACCAGCGGCTCCACTTCTGCAACCGTGATTGCTGCTTTATCCGAACTCCCCTCCTCACCTGCTGCAAACCATTTTTTATTTTATTTTTTTATTTTTAAAACCATAAAATGACCATTTTACCCTTCACTCAAAAAACACACACTTACATGCTCGGGTTTTTACAAACTTGATGAGATTGCCAAAATGTTCCACCAGCAATTCTTCCTGTGACAGACAAAATAGGAAAAATACTTCCATCCATACTTATACCATAAAAGACGAAAATGCCCTTCACCCCCTTAAACTCAAAGTCAAACAACTTAACTTACCACATAAACAGCTGTATTATTTTTCAAAAGTTCTTCAAAATGGAGCTGAATTTTCCCACCTTCGGGACCCGCTTCCTGGAAACCAAAATCAAATACATCGATAATAATTTTTTATTTTTTTTATAAATAATCATGTGATTATTGAAATAAAACGTATTATACCTTCAAAACTGCAATTGTCATGTCATAGTTGTTGATAAGAAACACAGTCTGCAGTTTTGGCTTTGTGAAGGTTTTTGCAAGCTTAATAAGCAAGTCATCTATAGCCATTTTCAGTCTTTCCATATTCAGATCAAGCTATAAATCAATTTGCAAAGTGTTAAATATAATATATTAATAATAATAATAATAATAATCAGTTGTTTGACTGCTGACCTGGCCATCACCATAGTCAACATTAAGTTGAATAAGTGAAGCTGTAAATTCAGCATAACGCCTCATGACATAATGTGGATGCACATCATCTTCCCATAATGTTTTCACATTTGCATTTCTCAGACTGTTGATGTGCATGTCAAATATCATCTTGAAACGTGGCCATAATGATATATTAACCTAAGTTTTTTTTTTTTTTTTTTTTTTTGAACAAGAAAAAACTGAAATTAAAAATTATGTAATAGAGAGAAATATATGAAAGTAGTATGAACTAAAAACAAATAGATGAAAGTACATTGCTAGTTCAGAAAAATACCCTACAATATACATACCTTGTCTAAATAAGAATCAAGACACGGAATCCTCCTCCTAGACATTATGAGCTGAAAAAAAATAAGAAAAGATGACTCAATGTATAAAAAAAATATACAAATATAATTCTTTATAACAAGGAAATTTAAAATTTTCTAGATAAATTATTCAAAAAAAAAAATTATAAGATTCACCTGGTGTTGGTGTGTGATGCGGATCATAAGCATTATACCAATTGCATCAAAGCAATTTGGAAGAATTGTACCAAAATGCTCATCCATTACAGTAAATGGCCCTGAAAAAAAACCAAAAATATATATATTTTTTTTAAATATATTTAAATAACTGATTTACAATTACTGCAGATTATTCATCTACCTGAAAATATATCTAAAAATACAGATTCTTCTCCAAAAAAATCCCCACAGAAAACATATCTGTACATCATAAAAGTTAATAAGCATTTTCGTGTGTGTGTGTGTGTGTGTGTGTGAGAGAGAGAGAGAGAGAGAGAGAGTGTGTGTGTGTGTGTGTGTAAAAGAAACAAATATACAGTACTCCGAAGTAGCAGTGTCCATAAGCAGTTTATGCAAGCTTCTGAAGAGGACTTCATATGGATATTTTTTGGAGCTTGCTTCAGCAATATGTGGAATTAATGAAGGCTCATCAATTTCCTATATATCATATCAGTAATAAACAAACATAACTCAAATGCCAGCTGGCAAGAAAACAAACAACAATAACTTGAAATTTAAAAAAAAAAAAAAAAAAAAAAAAAAAAAAAAAAATACCTTGAGAATATTTATCCTATCTCCAAGAGCAAAAATAGCAGACCGATTTTTCAAAGGCTCTCTTCCTCTTGAAAAAAGACTCGTGCTTCTGGTGTCTACACCTATCAAATCAGTGGGACCCGCTATATCCAGCTGTAATTTCTCCAATGCTTGAATATAAGCACGAAAGTGTGCACTTAACACCTGCCACATCATCACCAAATTTTTATAAACACAAAATTCGGTAGAGAAATACCAAATATACCCTTACTATACTAATTACTATGTCTACCTTGTTCATTGTATCAGTATATGCTACACGAACTTCATTATAAATCTCCTTTCCATGTTCCTTGAGAAATGTAATTACATATCTGCATGGGTATATGATAATTAAATAATGTATTTAATAAAAATAATAATACATAAGCATGTTGCTATTATGGTGAAAAGTTAGAAGAGATAACTCACTTATATTTCAACAGGATGCTCTGCTGAAGAATCTGGATATTTGTTTTAGGTTTTCTCAAAGCATAAAGCTTCTGAATCATGAATTCAAATACCTAAAAAGTGGAAAGAAATTTGTAAAAAAAATTACAGGAAACAAAGTGAGGTCATGTGAAGAATGTAAAAGGAAATGGATGAATATGTATTTTACCTTTGAAATTGCTTTTTGTCTCAATCTTTCTAACTCGGGTTGAACATCTTTTAAAGCATTTGAAGTTTTAACCATGGAATCTACTTCCACAAACTTCAGCTTCTTACTCAAGATCTCAAGAGTCCTCAAGTATTCCTCATTGACCTATAAAAAATTTATAAATATTAAATTACAAATTCCCTCCAAAAAAGAAATGAGTATTGTTCACATAAAGTACCTCTCCATCAACAATTATCTCTATCATCCTTGGTGGGACAATGATGTCTTCAACAAATTTTGCTAACTTTGATTCTGCCACCTGTAAAAATATCCCAAAAGGAAATAATTAATCATTAAAAAAAAAAGTATTCCAGAAGATTATAATGGGATTACCTTGCGATTTTTCAGCTTCAGCCCCATATCCAATGATTTCTCCTGAAGAATCTTTATGTCTGAACTAATAGAACCAATCTCAACCTGTCACAAGAAATTTAAAATACTTTAAAGAATATAATACAAAAGCTTGAAGAAAATTTCTTTGAGTCTAGCATAAAATGTGATGAACTACCTGAAATCCACCAAGCAGAGTTTCCATTTGTGAAAGAATAACATCACAATCACGAATTTGATCATGTAGTGACACTAGATTATCACTCTCTGTTATATACTCCTGTTGATAAAAAAAAAAGATTGGAAATTACATTAGTAAACTGAGAAAACAAAAAAATAAATGCAAATCAGCCACCTGCCTGAATAGAGTCCAATTCAACTTGGCGTAAATTGTTTTCAACTCCCTTAGTATACTCCCTCAGTTTCACACCTTTTGATAATATGTTTGCAACAACCTAAATTCAAACAAATAAAATGATATTGTACACGAAAACAATATAATTTTGATAATTATCAAATATCAACCGAGAAATTGGACAGAAATCCATATGACTAAAGGTACCTCATCGGCTTTGCACTCTTCAAGCTCCTGTTGTAGTCCTTCCAATGATATATCATTGCTGAAATAAACCAACCATTGATTTAATTGCAGAAAACCCAACATTTAGAGTCAAGGGTAAGAAAATGCACCTGCTTGCATCTTCTTCAATGGTTAAATCACCAACAACAGCTCCTAAATTAAAAACAGATTTACTAGCATCTGTGGTTTCGCCTTCAGGTTTAAGCTGAGAACATCAACATATACATGTCAGTGTGTCACACACAGGGAAAAGGGTGGAACGGATGCACCGAAAAGATTGAGTAGACCTCTTACCAGATCGTTTGTTGCTGCCTCCGCCATTTTATTCAGTCAATAGAACAAGTTACAGCTGAAAATGAAGACTTGCAGGTGTGAAAATGGGTATAAGGTTCGATAAAGATTATGGAGCTTTGTCAAATACACGATACAGATCCAGTGACAAGATCCACCAAATGACTGGATTATCTATCAATCAATCTCCTAATTTCATTCTGAATTTCTAGAAGGAGTCGAGAAGATGTCTGTGAGATGGAGACTCATGGCTACGTAAAGGAAAATATGAACTTATGTGGAATGGAAAAATAAGAAGATAGCTGTCATGATTTTTTTCGTCAATTACATGTCTTCCGGTGCAATTCGGACTTCAGATCGAGGAAGGAAAAATCTCTCAAGGAAAAATCATAGCAAATCTCAATCTCGAAAACAACAATTTTATCAGCAATCACAAATCAGAATCCCTTTTAACCTGTTTTACACTAAATACCACTTTTCTTACCTGATGCAGATCGGTGAGTATCGAATGTTAAGTCATTTAGGGAGCGACGGTGGTCAAAATCGATAGCGGAGAGTGTTTCCCTCGACGCGGTGGTGGTCGCCCCTCTCCGTCGCCGTAAATTCTTAGAGAGAGATGGTGGTTTAGACTTGTGAGAGTGACCGTTTTTGCTTCGAAGGTTGTGTTCATTTGATCATTTCCTTTATTTTAATTTTTTTTTTTATATTCATTTTCTTCTATTTTGATTTTTGATTGCTATTTTATTTTGTTAGTCGTTGATTTTGATTCCTAACCCTCGAAACCAAAATCCGATCATAACAACTCACGATGAATCACCAAAACCCACATTTTGATCAACACATACAATATGAATTGAATCGTAAGAAAGAAATTACAAATTACCTTCTTTTATGGAGACTGAAATTGAGGAAAAGCACCCGAATCAGCCTTCTTTCTTTTACAGTCAAAAGTGTTTGGTCGACACAGAATGACGATATAGCAGAAGAGAACGATGAGGAAAGATCAAAGATGTGTTGGATGTGAGCAGCAAGATGATAAAGATTACAGTAGAATGACAATGCAGCAGGAAGAAGCAAAAGTGGATGTGTTAGATGTGATCTAATAAAAGTTTGCAAGGATAGAATGAGGAACTTGTTTTTGATGATGAATTTTGATGGAATTCAATTCTACTACTTGTCAACCAAATTAATAGCATGGATAATCCAAATTAACCCAATGTTTGATTTAGAAATTACTTTCCTTTTCATTATTATCAAAAAAATTATAATGAAAGCATATTTAAGTTTATGCTTGTTAAAAATAAGATAGTTTATTGTAAACTAGACAGATATTAGCATCGAGATCTCGATGGGATAACGTTTGGCACGTATAGCAAAAATAGCACTTTGAAATAGGGCTCACAAATAGAGGAGTTGGGATTATCACGTAGATAAGTCGTTATTTCAAAACTTATATCTCGTTTTAATGTTATTTCAGTTAGATTTATTTTACTGATTTATAAAAAATAGATTCTTTGATATGGACCAACCCAATATTTGTAATATTCTTAGCCTAGTATCTTTTATGTCCCGTTATGACCTTGTTGGAAAACACTAGAAGGAAACAACAATTTTTTCTCCTTGTCTGCAACACTTTTTTTTTTATTGATGTGATCGACTCCCAAGTCCCGCCATCAAATTAAGTGACGAGAAGCTAAATCAAAGGGACCAATAAGGTAAGCATCTTATTCCTTTAAGAAATTTTGAGTCTTCCCTCCCCCTCGTTAAGTCCTACTTTTGTTATTAATCGACAACTTTTATACTAAGACCTCACTATCTTAGTTAGACGGTTAATGAACTTGCTTCTTTTCTATTACTTGTTTCTTGTTTGTTAATTCTTCTCATTACTTGCTTTGTGTCTATTAATAACTATATACATGGAGGGAATGCATTTAATTTGTAAGTAGATCTCGGTTAAGGCATTTAATTTGTAATTTGTTATATATAGTTGGCTAGTTAATGTATTTAATTTGTAATCTGTTATGTATATGTTATGTATAGTGTAGTAGTTGAGAGGGGGTAAACGTTATGTAACTCTTTTTTGTGCAACAAGTTTAACTTGTAAACATGGAAGATCATTCTTCACATGCTTCGACAAATCTAACCCCTACTGCTACGTCATGAGATGCCGATACCAAATGCCTAAATGGAGAGAGTTCTTGCATTGATACAAGAAAAAGAAAAGAAAAACAAAGAAATATAGAAATTATAAGATCATCAAACACAATAGAATTATAAGAAAATGAGGATGAGGAAGATGAGATGTGAGTTAAGGAGGATAGTAAGAAAAGAAAGTTTGTAAGTTCTATGTTCACGGTCCACTTGATCTTTTATATAAACAATCACAAAAAAAAAAAAAAAAAAAAAAAAAGGACAATGGATAAAAACAATCCAATCAAAGAGAAGTTGAAGAACATTGTATTGAAAAAGTTTGTGATTTGGGCTTATGTGGTTGGCTTACCATTCAATTTTGTACATGATCAAGGTTTCCAATATGTAATTAATGCATTTCGGTACACCCATTTCGGCCCTCGCATGACCATTTTTGTGATAAATTAAGAAAAAATGTTATAGCATGGTTTGTCTTACCTATTTTATCCATTTTTGTGATTAGACATATTATTTTCAACTATACTAAATTGCGAATTCGCCAAGTAAAAGACAAGACCTTTTTTCACAATTAAATTATCTAGAATACATGTTGAAAATATCTAATTTTTTCTAATATGAAACTTTCTAACAATCTTATGATGATAATTTTTAAGGGGTTAAAATTGAAGAAAAACTATTAAGCTATGACTCTTATCGACACGATATTATGTATAATGTGTGCATTTATGTACGTTTTCAATTTATTTTTCAAGAATCTTATCGTAAGGCTGTCAAATGTATTTTTTTCTGCATGTATTCTAAAGATTCATGTATGTCCACTTGAATTGTTTTCAAGTAATTAGATATTTTCACGAAGGAAACATTAACAAGGTTTGAGTTATTTGGTTTGGGTTATTCGATCATTTAGTTAATTCAGTTTGGTTAACCTAATAACGGTATTTTATTTGATTTGGTTTTGGTTAAATTTTCATTATTTTGATTTGGTTAACCGAATAAGTTATTTAATTAATATGTATTTTTATAGTTTATATCTATAAATTAATATTTTATATTTATTTTGATAAGATTATTTACTAAAAAAGATTTCATAACTTATTATTTAATTATTAACCATTAAAAATTTATAATTGTTTATATATTGTATTAAAAATAAACAACTAATTAGCCAAATGTCAATTAACCTTCTATAACATCCAATCTATGTAACATCCGATCTAGGTACGAATCAATTTTCTTGTATTTATTTTAAAAATGGTGGCCACGACATGGTGGTGCATCACCACAACATGGCGGACTATGCGGGGTCGCGGGATTTTAATGACCCGCCACGACGTGGTCTCGGAGAACCACGACGTGGCAGGTGTTTTAGAGGAAACCTTAATTTCGGGTTTTGGACCATATATAAGGAACATTAAGGCTGGGGCTTCAACCTCCATCTTCCCCCCAACCTCATAAACCCTAACCCTAGCCTCCATTGAAGTTGTGAGTTTATTCTTGGTGCTTTTTGATGATTTTAAAAGGAGAATGAAGCTCTTGGTGAGGTGGCTACTTGCAAGCATCATTTCTTCATCTAAGCTTATTTCTTGGACCTTAGTGAGTATCCAAAACTCAACCTTTTCTTGCCGTGTTGCTAGATCTCTTATTTTTGTCCTCTTTTTCCATGATTTTGATGGACTTAAGTGATGAATAGTAATTGTGTAGATTTAACTTGTGAAATTTCTTTTAACATGCGAAAATTATGAGTTTTTTTTTTCATTAAAACATTTTTTTGAAGATTTTTCATGGTAGGAATATTTAAAGGCACAACAAAGAAATAGCTTATATTGTTAAAACAAAGTCTTAGAGTCATAGTATTTTATCAAAAAAATATAGTGTAAAAATTAGACCTCATAATGGATCAATCTAGGTTGGGTTTGGATTCAACTCATTTATTAATTGAATTGAAGTTTTCAACCCAACTTGTTTATTTAAAAGGATTAATATTTCCAATCCAACTCAACATTTTAGATAAATGGGTTTTCACTGGGTTAACTTGTTTATATAATTCCCGATCCAACCTACTACGTAAATTGATTACACTTGGGTTAATTCATTTAAAATCAAAAAAATAAATAAATATACTAAATATTAGACCACTTAAAACTAGTTCCAAACATAAATAAAGTTTCAAAGTATAAGAAAAGTACAATCTTAATTCACAAATACATATAAATTGTTCAAATAATATTAAAAATGTTTAATTTCAAAGTGATTTTGAAGAGTGAGTAGTATTGTTGATACTAAGAAAAGGGATGTGAATTATGATTGCATTTTTGAAAAATAAATAATAATATAGCATTATAATTTATAAATTAATATTTTGATTAATATATGATAATATTCAATTAATTATCAAATTAAATATATATTAAAGTTAAAAGGGTTAGCCGGTTAAAAACAAATTGATAATTTTTATCCAACCTAACCTATTTAATAAGCGGTTAAGCGGGTTGACTCATTTAACTTAAATTGGTTGCTCAACTCAATCCATTAATTTTGGGATGACAAAATTGCAAATTTGGTATGTGTGGTTAATCAAAAATTGAGACTTTGTCCAAAAAGTTTTGGGGTTGCACCATTAGTCCAAAAAATTTATTTTTTTGCAAATTTGGTCCAATACAATATTAAATGAGTTTGAAATGACATTTTTGTCATTTCTATTTCTTTTTCCCTTTCTTTTGATTTACTTTACTATTCATTAAATTAAAATAAAACAAAATATAAAATATAAACCTCACCCCACCTACATCCCTCTTCCTAGACTCTATTTCTCTTTCTATAGTTTTTCACCGGAAACCACCACCACCACCAGAAATCACCCCATCCCTCATGCCCTCTCCGTCTCTCTCATTTTTAATATATTTCCATTTTACAAGAATATAAAGTTGTCAGAAAATCTTATAAGTTACCCTCTTACAGGAGCCACCACTCTCTCACCGGAGTCTCCAAACTCTCCTCTTTATCCCTCATTCACTTAAGTTTCCATCAAGAAAAACCCTAATTGATTCCTTATTTGCAGATCTTTGGTTCATCGGACCACCGCCAACACCACCTCTATTAGTGATGACGGCTTTTCATCATCCACCTCTCTGTTTCTCTCACACACACAAACGAATTAGGGTTTCGGCAACAGAGGCCGGAGATCAAAAAAGAGCGACGACACTAGGGTTTCATCGAACATATGGTAGCGGCGACATCATCTTTGTCTTTACAAAGTTCATATGGATATCAGATCTATTGAAGGCAAAGAGCTGATCCAGCGAAGGAGATGAACAGATCTGGTACAGGCGACTAATAAATCTGACGAATCCAACAAAGAAGACGAAGAATTGTGGCAAAATGGGTGGCACCAACGTATAGATTTACGAAGGACCGCTCTCTTTTTTCTTCTTCGACGAAGTTGGTGCCGGATAAAACAACGGTGGTTCGACAATCAACGGTGGTCCGGCTAGCAGTAGTTAAAAGTTATTGATTTACTAGGGACAAACATATCACACAATGTTTACTAAACACTCGAGTGATAAACATGTTGCTATCATGATTGTATATGTCGACAACATTATCATTACATGTGATTATAAGGCTCTATTTCATCATAAGGAAGGCAACGCCTTAGGTGGTAATCAACTTGAGTTTTCTAGTATATATTTCCTCTTATGTTCTGTTTTTTTAAACAAGTTAAAATAATGCACTTGTATTAGACCCTTGTATCCCTCTCACATTAATATTTTATACGAAGAAATCGAGCACACTTTCAGATGTCCTTTTGGAGAGGATAAGACTTATGACTTAACTTTATGCTATATATAAATGTAAAAGTTAGTATTTGACTTTGCTAGGATTTAAGCACTTCAACAAACGATTCAACGATTTCTCAAACAAAGTAATAATGCAAAACGAAAACAAAGACACAATCAAGTTACATGGTTCATACAATCAGGATGATCAGCTACGTCCACAGTGAAAACGAGAGAGTTTTATTATTTCTATCGTAAAAGGCTCGGTACGATACATGAGATCACACGAATTCATATGATATATACATGAGGTTACACGAATTCATATGATGTATATACTAGTAAGTCAAACTAATATTAAGCCTAAAACTCAGTCGAATCAAAAACTGACCCATGACGAGATCTAAAGGCTAATCTAATATAGAAACTAGCCCACAGAAAACTTCTTCTTGGAGTGCTACCCCCAGCCTGCAAGGGGCGGCTCCCCCTTGACTCCCACCCGCTCTCGAAAGAGCGGGGCCCCATACTTGGTATGCCTAGCGGCTATATGGTCAAATTTACAACTTAACAGTCTTCTCTGTGGATGTGGTATTTGTAAAACCCATATGTTTATCTTTTTGCATATTATGTATGTGGGGCCTCCCGTTGAGTTCAGACATTGCATATGTTTGGCAAAATAGTAGGTAGCTAGTAAGCTATAACTTTTATTTATGTAGAAATATTTGGCAAAAGTAGTTGCAAGTTTTTTAAATGTGTAAAAGTACATAAAAAAACATCAAAAGAAAAGAATTTTTTCAAGGAGCCCTTTTTCTTTAATATAAAAGCTTTAAGCTCAGTTCATATTCCCAAAAGAAATTTTTCTTTAATTCAATTTTTTTTTTTAATTTATACCCATTATAAGCAAATAATGTCATTAAAATGCTAAGCTAATCTTGAAGAAAACAAAATGTTGCACAGTGTGGTCATGTTGTTAGTTATAGTTAACCCCTGACTTAAGGCTTATAAGAAACTCACAACTCTCACTTTCTGGGTTTCTATCTTATATAAACTTCCCCACTTGAACTCTTCATTTTTGTATCCATATGGAAAGAGTTATTACATACTATAAGCCCAATAATCTAACTACATATTATTCAAAGACAGCTATTCTATATGAATATAAATAGAGATTTTCTTGCCTTGTTAACTATTGTGTAGTAACAAGCTCCACATCTGCTGAAGACTGGCCACAATTATCAATCTGAAGAGATGCATCTGCATCACTACTGTTTTCTGCAGTGGTGGATGAAGTATCATTAGCTGTTTCTGCAACAGGTGGAGAAGAAGCAAGAAGAGAGAGGCGACAGAGAGGACATGTGGTGTGAGTTGAAAGCCAGTGATCAATGCATTCCACATGAAATACATGCTTGCAAACTGGTATCTGTTGCAGCCTATCATCTGCTTGGTAGTCCCCAAGGCATACAGAACATCTGCAAATTTAATGTCAACCAACTTTTAAAGCAATATGCCAGATGTGAAATGCATAAGATATAGATAGCAAGAAGATAAGAAATGATGGCTTAGAATTCGAATCTAAACGAGTTGTGTCTTAGATTTGATACAAAAATTACCTGAATTCCAGTTATCTATTTTAGGAAAAGACGGATTACATGGTTAGGTTGATTTTTCTGATAAAAGAATCCCAATTTCTTCAAATCTTAGTTGTGAGATTGTAATCATGTTATGCATCATCTAAAGATCTGCTATATATAATGAAAATAAAGAAGCACGAGACTCACAGGGTATCAGTTACAGAAAAGCTCTCCTTGAACACGATAATAGGCAACATCTCCCTCAGTTCTTTCTTCAGCCCCAAATCAGCTTGCTCCTGTTCGTAATTGGAAATAAACAAGATCAATCGAAAGATATTCGCAGGTTTAGAAAAGGAATCTGCATCAGAAAACGTAAGTAAAACGATAGATTTGTATGAAATCATAAATACTCTCAATGCTATGATGCGATTTCCGAAACCTAGATAAATCGAGATCAATCAGTAGCGAGAAGAAATTGATACCGTGGATACCGCATTGTTGACAGATGAGGGTTCCGACCAATGCGGTGAACGGCGGCGAAGACGGCGGAGGCGAAGATAGAAGAGATAGAAGGACAAGAAGAGGAGTAACGTGAAGACGAGGGTAAAAGCAAACGCAAATCCTCGGAACAGCTTTACTTCAGCTGATAATGCCCTCCTCCAATTCCAACAACTACTGCAACCTTCTGTGTCGCCTGATGGTGATGATGATTCGTCCGCAGAACCAGCCATTTCAAATCAGTTGGATTTACAGAAACTTGAAGGCATTCTCACTTGATCGATGCTGCCATTTTAGAACAACAGAATCTTGTGCTGCACCAGGCCTAACATAACTTTTGGCTACCGTAGAAATCACTTGCCTAACATATACATTTTTTAAAATCTATTAAAAAAAAGTCAATTATTTTTTAAAATCTTAAAAAATATCTTAATTTTTAGTGTGAGATATAGTTAATTTTAGTCACAATTGTTAAGATCCCAATCTTGATCTTAAGATTTTAAGATCATCCAAAGTTAAAAACACAATCTCACTAAAATCTATCTTAAATAAAATCTATAATGGGATCTTATGTTCTCCTCCTGAACTTACTAAAATGAGCTAATTTTGATAACGAGACTTTTTCTCCATCCACATAAAACTTAAGATAATGACAATAATGAAAATCCATTGATTTTGTTTACAAATAAAGCACGATATTGACATTCCTTCTTCAATCTTCCTTCTTCACTTCGTTATATTTTGTCATTGCTAATGTCTAAATTATATGTTGCCTCTCTTGCCGTTTGCTACCATCGTTTCTTCTTCTTTCGTAGGAGAACCCTAACGAAACTGTCGATGAACCTTTGCAAAACAATGAGAGAATAGTTTTGCAACAACAATTTACCCTTTTTACACGTTTCAGCTTTCTCCTCATGTCGCTATGTCTTTCATTGATTCACTTTACATGATTGGTTAGAACATGTATGTGAAAAACGACTAATGGCTCTTCCTTGCGTAAATGATTATGATACATAAGAGAATGGATTCAGTAATATATATATATATATATATATATATATATATATATATATATATATATATATATATATATATATATATATATATATTAGGTTTACCTTTTTTAAAAGAGCGTGTTAGACTGAAAGATTCAGTGTTATTCATGACCTTGAAATAATCTATGCTAGCCACCTATTTATCTCTATCGCTTGACTCATCTACCCTTTGGTCTAGCTGAAGAAGCAATCCGCAATCACCAGAAGCCGATTCAACTAGGAAGGCTTTATTTTTTTTGGTTTCAGAACACCAACAATTTGTTCGAATTTTTACATGAAGATAACTTTCCAAGAACAAGATCATGATGTTGTTTAATGGGATCTTCATCATTTAAAGGAAGTTTGTTTTGTAACTAATGGTGGATCACCAACAATGTTTACTCATTATGGTAAGGATATACCAATGTTAAATATGTGAGCGAAGGTAACTGTGTTCCAAATAATGCCAATGCTGAGAATGATGAGATATCAAATTATGTTGAGAATGATGAAATTAGTACTCAAGCTTAAAAAGAAGATGAAGTGGTGCTCCAGCGAATTCCATGGAGAATGGATAAACAATGGTGTGAATGTGCCATTAATCTGAAAGGGGGATAGTTGCCATTAATCGAATCAATAACATTACCTCCTACAACATGCCCTACCTCCTCCAACCAATCACGAGCTCTATCCTTTAGGAGGCAGGATGCTAGTCTGACCTTGTCCCCCTCGAGACAATGACTGGTACGAAAGGCGTTGGCATCATCTGCCAACCACCTGCTGCTCGCAATGGGGTCCGTGACCCCATGATAGTCTGGCGCTCCACATGCCCGAAACTCCTAAAAGTTCAGAGAGCGTGTCCCGATCAATGCCACAATATCATAACGGAAGGCGCTCAATCTCTCATCAAGAATCTCCAGAATACCCTCATTGACCGAGCTAACGATCACATGAGTCTAATCAAGGATACTGCATGTAATCTCAGACGAGATGAACTCCCACGTCTGGTCATCAGGCTGTCCGACTCCAGAACCCGAGCCTGAACCCTTCCCGACACCGAACTGCCCACTAGCCTGCCTCGCAATACCACCATACTGAAAATAGACCATAAAACTATCAGAATATGCATCAATGCGCATATCAAGGAAATCATAACTACACAAGCTCCCTGGCTTCATTACAGCCTTCCTTAAATCGAGTACGAATCCTCTACTTCCAGTAGTACGATCCCATACTACCTTCCACATCTATCCGTACTTTACTCAGGAAGTGTCTTCACTCGACCAAGTTACTCTATAACCAACATATCCCTCACAGCTAGGGCTCTCAACACTAAATCTCATCCTAAGTTTTCTTAGGGCAGATTTCACACCATTATCTGTCATCAGCAGCAGAAGGAACTCATGCTAACCTTCTCTAACTAGCTCACGAATACAATTACATATTACAAATAGTAGATGGTTTTTTGAATGAGAGGTCTCTCCCTACAACGGTTGGATTCAAACAAGAGCTGCACAATAAAGCTAAACCTAACCTTCTGAAATTATTTAGTTTTCATAATATGTAACTTAGCATATTCACTTACTAACTAGTTGAGATTAGCAAGAACTCCTAAAATCACAAAGCAAGCAGCATTTGGGAATCAAGTAAATAGAACTGTGTGACATCCCTATTTTTCACGGCCAGAAAAGACCGATTTTGTTTATGTTTTATAAAAATAAGAGTATCTCTTTTAATAAAACATGTTGCGGAATTTGTTCCCAGAAAAACATGATAATCGCGTTATCAAAGCATTTCTAAAGAAATATATTTTTTATTCACTTTTAAAACATTTGGGATGTCATCGTCAATACAGAAACATAAGCATAAACAGAACTTACATTCATTTACACTAGTGATCTACATCTCTTTTAAATCTCTCAGAGTATAATGTGACTTCATATCAACATCTGTGATATAAATAAACTGAGTGGGTTAGGTTGGGAAACCTGGTGAGTACATAGGGTTTTCAACCCACAATAATATAATTATTATGTTTAAACAATCAAACAATCAACCCAATTACCCATCCCCATTATCTTCTTTATTCTTAAGGATCTACCCTAAGAATTAGCTATTTCTCATTCATTCATTCCTAAGGAAACAACATGAAGTCCATTGTTGCCAATGACACATTGGTCAAGCGCAACTACTAATATTATCACTTAGGTGCAACTGCCAGAATTGGTACATTTTCTATGAGGCGCTTCTGCCGGTATTGACTTTTAAACGCTATTGTCATGGTCAGAAGGCTCCCTATTAGGCGCAGCTGCCGATACTATCCTTAGAGCGCAGCTACTAGGAAGTTTACCGTAGATCTAAATCATCTACGGGTTGTGGCGCAGCTGCCAATGCTCATCTATAGGGTACTAGGTCCACTGCTGCCAGTGTATACCTATAGGGCACTAAGTCCATACTACTAATGTTCCTCTATTTCAGCTTTTATCCCTCATCATTCATCTACCCATGTTTCACCCAACATATTTTGTAGATATAAAATACTTTATACAGTTTACATCATTTAAAACATGTATAAAAATCTTTCACCAGCATAGACAGCAAGTATTCAAACAATATGCACACATAGCACGTAATTTATATTAAAATACTTCATATCTATGTGTAAGATGAAAGCGACCATGAACTCACTTGATACGGTGGTGATTCCGAACTCAGACAACGCTTCGTTATCTCAAAACAATTTTCCTCAACAAAACAACGGGTTTTTATTAAAAATCGGGCTTCGTTGGAGCAGCGTTTCCGAGCCAAAAGCTTTTCTTCTCGGAGTCGTCGTGCGCTCTGGGGCTTTCTTCTCGTGCTAGGGAGGTTCCCTAGACTTGGGAGGGTTTAGGGAGGTTAGAGAGAAGTTAGAGAGAGAAAGAAAGGCTTATGGTGTGAAGAAATTATGAAGAGTTCATCTCTTATTTATAGGAATTTTATAGTAAAGTAGTCTCCAAGCTTCGTCCGTATCTTTCACATAAAAGCTCCATTTTCTAAATTATTTATATCCACGTATTGGTATTTACGAGTACTACAACTTTCATTTAGACTGTGTCGGCTAATTCTCCTTCTATCTCAGATTTACAAGAACTGTATCGTATTTATCGCGCACGAAGAGTAGCGACTAAGCTTCGTCCATATATGTCGCATACGAGCTCCGTTTCCGATGTTATTTATATCCATGCATTGGTATTTATGAGTGATACAACTTTCATTTAGACCTCGTTGGCTAATTCTCATTCTATCTCGGATTTACAAAACTGTATCGAATTCGTCGCGCTCGAAAAGTAGAGACTAAGCTTCGTCCATATCTTTGGCATACGAGCTCCGTTTTCGACTGTCTTTTTATCGTTTAACTCCTATTAACAATATCTTCATTTCTCATTTAGATTATTTTGGCTGAAAAATCGACCGATCTAAAATTCGAATTTCTGGGTTGTGTACTGTTACACTAAATGTTAGAAAAATCATAACTTCCTCATACGAAGTCAGATTTGGGTGTTCTTTTTATGGATGATCTCATTTTAACATATTCTACGACTTTTGTTTAGATTGCTAAGGCTAAAAAGTCATCCATCGTAAATTCATTATTTACATCTCCCGGTGTCGTGCCGGTTTTGCCGTAAAACTTCGACGGACCATAACTTCTTCGTTATAACTCGGATTTCGGCGTTCTTTATATGTATGGAACCCTTGAGACGTATTCTAAAACTTGTTTAAGATTATTTATTCTAAATAATATTTTGTCGAAAAGTCATTTTCGACCCTTAATATCTCTAAATTGACTAGCCCAGATCTACGGGCGTTACAAACTGAGCATAACCTAATCAGGCCATCCTATCGTTGAATGATCAGTACTGGCATACAAATCTATAAGCTCATAAAACAGGCATTCAAAGGCATCCCTCCTAGATCCTTAGCCCTAATCTATCATGAGATTCACAATTCACAAATCATAAAATATATAAGCATGTATGGGTATTTTGGGATAACTTACTTGAGTTCGGCTGATTTCATGCACCACGCCCTTTTCTCTTTTAGAAATTATTTTTATAAAAATGTTTTCTTGTAAAATTTTCTACAAAGTCCTTAGTTTGAGTTTAGACACACCCGAGAGTGTGCCTGAATACCTCAAACCAAGGCTCTGATACCAAGTTGAAACATCCAAAAATGGTCCCAAAAATTTTGTTTTTTATAATAGATAAAATAGTGATTCCAATAATATCCAATCATCTCAAATAAAAACCAATGTATCAATTGTCATAAAATTAGAGTAAAACATCATGTGCGGAATCCCAATGGTGTGTGCGATGCAGTCATCCAGAGCTCTTCCTTTTTAAACCAGAAGTACCTGAAACATAAACTACAAACCGTAAGTACAAAGCTTAGTGAGTTCCCCCAAAATACCACATATTAAACATACAATAAACATATAGTGGGCATCGCCCAGCTTCGGACCCCGTCCGGCATCGAGCTGAGCTCGGTAAAATAGGCCCCCGTCCAAGATACAATAACATATTATCAACGTAAACACATACTCATGCAATAATCACAGAGATAC